TAATAATGGCAAAATATAAACTTTCCGTTTATGATACAATTGTCACGGTTATGTTTCAGTGATTCCGGTTATTATTACGATGACAAGAAGGACGCAAAGAAGCTTGATTCAGGCTACTACTAGTAAGTAGAAAAAAATGTCGGTATTTTCCCACATTTCCAAAGAAAACTTGGCGAACAGTTTACATGAAAAACATGAAATTGGCTTTGCTAGACTTGTGACACGCCTTCAGCCGGTCACTGTTTCTCGATAGTAGGGACACGCTCCTAGCAGTAGTTTTCTGGATTAGACACATCAGTGCCTTGGATGTTTTTCAGCGATGCTCCCTTTTATCATGATAAGTTTAATATGGAAAATGCAACTAAAATTTAAAGGAAACCAAAAGTCACTTAGTTTGTAACATGATCAACGACAACAAAAACTTAATAGTTTTCTGGGTTGAACACATCTCCTGTACTTAGAAACGGTTCCAACAAAATAAATGGAGTGGTTTTTATTGGTAATAAAAACGAAATATTTATAAACTTTCCGTTTATGACAAAATTGTCTCGGTTACGTTTCAGCGATTCTGGTTATTATTACGATGACAAAAAGGACGTAAAGAAGCTTGATTCAGGCTATTACTAGTACGTATATATGAAAAAATATTTGCAGGATTAAAATCTTTAAATTTAACTTTAAACCAATTAAAGAAGGTACCAGAGGAAATAAATGACCAACACCAAAAGCAAAGAAATATATACCACAACTTGACTTTATTCAAGACTATTTTTAATTACAATGTTTACCCCCGTGGCAGTACAGACAGTAATGTTAGAATAATTTATTAAGTTAAACGTTTTTTTCTTTTTTAAAGTACATCTCATCAAGTGGTATATCTCAGGCCCTTTTAATCTAGAAAAAAAAAAAAAGTTGACCTGTGTGGAAGAGTCAACCGCCTGCCTGAGTTCTCCTGGGCAAGCTAACTTTGATTTCCATTAAAAACTTGGCCACAACTTTAAATTAAGAAACGGAAAGGTTGCTTTGCTTGAAGAGAGATATGACTCGCCTTGCTGGGTTACCCTTTTTTGATGGTAGGGTCAAACTCCGAGCAGGGGTTTCTGGGCTGGAATCATCATTGGCTATTAATAAGTTATGTTTTATTGACGCTGTCTGATAATATTATGACTTTAATAAGGGGAAACACAAAATAACATAATTTGAAACACTATCAAAGACAACGATGACTTTATAGTTTTCTGGGTTGGGCGCATCATATTCTCCTGTCTACAATGATGAATCCAACAAAAAAGATGGAGTGTTTTTTCTTGGAAATAAAAGTGAAATATAAACTTTCCGTTTATGATACAATTGTCTTGGTTATGTTTCAGTGATTCTGGTTATTATTACGATGACAAGAAGGATAAGAAGGACGCAAAGAAGCTTGATTCAGGCTATTACTAGTACGTATGGTAAAATAAAATTTAAAAAAAAAAAATTGACCTCTATGAAAGGGTAATCCGCCTGCCTGAGCTCTTCTGAGCGAGCCAACTTTCATTTTCATACAAAACTTGGACATCAGTTTAGATACAGAAACAGAAAGCTGGCTCGGCTAGAAGAGTGACATGATCCGCCTTGCCTGTTTACCCTTTTTTGATGCCGCCTGATATTTTGATAACTTTAATATGAGAAAGCACAAAATAACATCGTTTGAAACACTATTAACGACAACGATGACTTTATAGTTTTCTGGGTTAGGCGCATCATATTCTCCTGTGTACAATGATGGTTCCAACAAAATCAATGGAGTGGTTTTTATTGGTAATAAAAACGAAATGTAACTTTCCGTTTATGATACAATTGTCTTGGTTATGTTTCAGCGATTCTGGTTATTATTACGATGACAAGAAGGCCGCAAAGAAGCTTGATTGAGGCTATTACTAGTACGTACATATGAAAAAAAATATTTGCAGTATGGAAATTTTTAACTTTAACTTTAAACCAACACTTTTTAAAGAGTTACGGGACGAAATAAATGACAACAAAAACAGAGGAAACACAGTTTTAAAATCTCACTATAAATATATACGACAACTTGACTTCATTCAAAACAATATTACAATGTTTAACCCCTTGGCTGTACAGTCAGTAATGTTAGAATAAGGTATCAGCGTATTTTAAAATCTGTTTAAGTGATATTTCTTAGGATCTGTTAATCTAATGTCCTCTGTGGAAGGGTCACCCGCCTGTCTGAGCTCTTCTGGGCTAGCCAACTTTGATTTCCATAGAAAACTAGGCCAAACGTTTACATAAAGAAACAGAAAATTAGCTC